AGAGACATGAAAGAACCTAGTATTCCTATCCCCATTCAGAGTCCAGTTCAGTTTGGACTTTTGATGCCTTAACCACTCCACCATTCTGTAAAGCTTCCACACTTTTTGTCTGACCATTCTTCTTCGTATCTTTTCTGAATCTAGCAGTGCTCTATCCTCTGCCATAATATCCAATGTATGCAACTCCTCCTCTGAAGCCTTAAGTTTGGATGTGGCATTACCAAACACCTCAATATTTCATTTTTTTAATTCCATCTTTAGGTGCTTGAATTTTTGAATAAGCCTGAATCCTGCCCACCCAGAGAAAGAACTGTTGTTCCAGCAATTGATAAAGAGGTCTGAGAAGCTTGGTTGTAAGGTCCAAGCATTTAAAAATCTGAAAGGACGAGGCCTCCAATCTCTTTCATCTTCTATCATCAACAAGTGGCAGTGATCTGAGATTAATCTAGGCAGGCCCCAAAGCTTCATTCTAAAGTTGACCATCCACTCCGGACTGAGTAAGACTCTATCAATTCGGCTCCACTTCTCAGAATCCTGGGCATTACACCAAGTGAATTTCCTTCCATACAGAGGTAGATCATTGAGCTCACATTTCCCAATAAAATCATTCAATTGTTTCATCCCCCTGTCTCTTCTGGAATAGCCTACCCTCTTCCCCAATATGTTTGATCTCATTGAAGTCACCTCTCATGCACCAAGGATCAGGAACAGAGACCTTGAGCTTTAATATATCTTCCCAAAAATTGGCTCTAGCACTAACATCATTGGGTGCATATATGTTCAACAAAACACAATTAAAGGAGTTGTATAGAGAGCCAGAGAGTAATATGTACCTCCTATTACAGCAGTAGCCAGATAGTTGGAAAACAACAGGATCCCAAATGTATAGGAGCCCACCCGCAGATCTATCAGGGTCTACAGACATATATTCCATGTTTCTGCTTCCCCAAAGCCCCTTTACAACATTTTCTGAAGCCATTGTTTTCTTGGTCTCTTGAAAGAAAACAATATCAATAAGTCTATCTTTTAGAAGGCATTTGATTCTACCATTTTTCTCAGGTTTTCCCAAACCCTTAATATTCTAGAAGAGTAGCTTCATCAAGAAACAAAGACTGCTGAGCCTTCCCATCCTTGATAATTCTCTCCTAGTCTTGAAACTTTAAATCAATGATCTTGCTTAGAACAACATCTTCCATCCCATTAAAGTTGATTCCTAGGGATTTCCCCAGATACATTGTGTCATTAGCTTCTTGGAGGAGACAGTGGTTGAAAGACGAAGAACTTCCAAACAGATCCAAATGTGCAAGAGCAGATGCAGCTGGTCTGAAAATGACATTCTTAGAGGATTGCTTATGAACTGTAGCAGCCCTGTAGCCAAGAATTCTAGCAAAGCTAGAAAATCCTTCAAGCTGAGATTTCTTTTTTCCCCTTTTCTTTGTAAATTGCTGGAGTTTTGAATTGGGGTAAGGGGTCAAAAAACTCTTCCCAGCAGAGAGATTAGGTCCAACAAATTGCATGTGAGGAATGGATGAGGCCAAAGAAACAAAATTGCCATGTTTGGTACTAACCACTTCCTTGGGCCTATTAGAAGGACCACAATTTGAGAACTTATTTAAAGAATGGGCCAAAACCACTTCCAAATTAATGCCAGGCCCAAAGTCTTTTCTGGACTCCATTGCCGATAACTCTTCCAAATTAGTGCCATGTCCAGGCCCATCACCATCTTCATTGAAGTTTTTGATAAACCCGGGTGTATAGACTTGAGGGATACACCTAAGATTGTCATCATTGCTTTTTGAATTGTGATCTGACCCTTCTAACAGAGGCTCCTCAACGTTTGCTTCCTTCTCTCTACTGAAACCTCCTACAGCTAGTGTCTCCTCAACAACAGTATCCACTACATCACCTATGTGACTAACAAAGAGCCCCTGCCGTTGAGTTATCGCCCCATCACCGTTGTTCTTAATTTTGACATCTGCCCCTGAAACATTTCTACTCTCCTTACTGTAGCAATTTCCGATGGAGCTGAACTCCTCCAAACCGTTGTGCTCCAAGCAATTGGAGAAAGCTGGATGATCTTCACAGATTAGAACGGGATGTGAACTTCCATTGCACATCAAGTTGACAGTTCTATTGATATATTCCATACACCCAGTGACCACTCTAATTCTAGCACGAGAGAATGACTTTGGTTGACATAAGTCACCCTCTAAACTAAGAACAGAACCCCATGTGCGCCCAATGTTATTTAGAGTATTTCTATTCCATAGATTCAGTGGTATGCCAAAGCATCTCAGCCATACACATCTCTCAGGTTGTAGATGAAAGCCAGGCTTCCATTCCGACACGGAAAGACTCCAGTCCTTGAACCAATCTTTGAGCTGGCTGATGTTTGAATACAGTTCTGCTTGAGATTTAAAAGATAATATTATATCACGACCTCCCCCTTTTTTGACCACTACCTGCTCCAACCCTTTCTCCTTCAGGGCTTTTGAAATAATGTGAGTGGGATATTCTGTATTGAATCTGATGATTGTACTGTCATATAGCCAACCGTTGCCTTCTTCAAAGGCTTGAATCTCCATGCTTTCTTCCCCAGCCGTTGGAGGAATGTCCCTTTTTTTGTACCTCTGCGAAAGATCTATGACCCACTAATGCAGCTTTTCCACTAAAGTTGTTTGTGTGAGAGGCCCTTCTGGAATGCTGAGGCTTCTTCCTTCCCTGTTCACCTCTGTTATTTCTATCATATCCAGCAACTTTGACCTCCAGTACCTTATCATCCACCAAAAGGCCGTTCCCTTTTTGAATGGCAATAGCTGCTGCTACCTGACAGTCATATCTCACAAACCCAAAGCGTGAGTTTGTCGCTTGCCTTCTTTTGTATGGGATAAACGCTTCCTTCACAATCCCAAAATTTGAAAATAGTTTGAACAGAGCCTTTGCAGCCATTGCTGAGGGTATGTTGTCCACGAAAACAGTAACAACTCCATGCCTTGCATCATTACCCTGTGCTCTACCTCCTCTCCTTTCTCTCAGCATCGGGATCCAACCCCCACCTCTACTCATGTTGAGATAAGTTGGTTTATTTATCTTTGAAGTCAATTTTAGATTAGTTTTAATCGAGTTAATAATTGTTGAACTTGAGTAACGTAATTGCTTGTAAGCTTGGTTTGAAATTTAATGAATTTGAAAATGTGTTCAATTTAGGTTTGTTTACATTGTGAAATGTATTATTAATGAGTTGAACAAGGGTCAAGTTCCCTCAACCAAATAAGGGTTGGTTACGAATTTGGTTTCATGGTCTTAGTCAGAATGAACATACCTCTTTCAACTATTAATAAATATGATTTTATTTCTTTATTTATGAATTTGTATATTTTGACATCATGAATTATATATTTTTATCTTTTTAAGCTACTTTTAGAAAAAAGTACTTGTGTAATTTTCATAATTCAGGATGTTAATATATACGGGATTATAGACAAGGTAATAGTTGTGAGGCTTTTGGTACTCTATAAACAATTCACAATTACTAAATCACAAGTCTGGCCCCATATTCCTCAGGTACAGCTTTCGATTGAGTTTTATCAAGTGAAGCCCCACTTTGGAGTTGCAAAATCCATTGGAAAACCTATTAAAATTGATCTGTTTCACTGGGTTTGTATGTATTGAAATTGATCTTCGAAAGCCCTATGCTAAAATTGGAGAGGTTTGAAAGTTTCTTAAAATGGTGCATGTTCTCTCTTCTATTATCTTATTTTCTTTAATAATACTGCATGTTCAGAAAAAATATTTAAAAAATTACTCAGAATTTAGGGTGTGTATATATATTAGGTGCATTTAAAATTTAAAAAATTGACTAAATTGTGAAAAAAGTCCATTAAAATAACAAAACACTGAACGAAAATAAAATTAGATTGAGGGGATCAAATCGAAACACTCTTTATATATTAAAGACTATAAATTGACACAATTTGAAAAGGAGAACTTACTGGCAAGTGGCATATGAAAAGTTCAAAATTCATCTAATCCCAAAACAAAATATTAGCACTAATTGATTTTACATATTTTAATTGTTATAAAAAAATGTTCTTTTTTTAAAATTTTTATTTTTATTTTTATTTTTACAGACACTGTTACATTCCGCCACCATTGGACATCCATCAGACGGTCACCAAAATGTTCAAGATCACCGGGATGCCGTCGGAGTATTGCCAGAAGTTCGCCGGAGTATTCTAAACATCACTGGAAGTCACTGAAGTGTCCAAAACATTCACCAGACGTTAAAAACATCGTCGGAGACTTACTAAAATGTCCAGAATGTTGCTAAAAAAAAAAGAATAATTAGAGAAATTAGAGCAAAAAATAACAAAATGTGCTAAATATTAATAAAGTAAAAGAAAAAAGAACATAACCAGAAAAAACAGCAACAATGAAAAAAAAAATATTATTATTCAATTTCTATAGGATTTAAGCAAATAATTTTTAATATTGACCAAATTAAAAAATAAATTTTAAAACTATAAAATATTATAATCTCAAAGTAAAAATTTATTATGAATACCTAACATTTCCACCTAATATTTCCTACAACCCCGGTTGGTAGCTCGAAAATTCGTGGGTCGAATGGGTCGAAAGATCAAAACGACGTCGTTTTGATCTTTGTATTTTTATTTATTTTTTTTTCAGCAGAAGGAAGAAGAAGACGAGGGGAGGAAGAAGGAGGAAGGAGGGGAGGGGGAGGGGAGGGGGCCAACAAACTCGGGGCTGAGGCAGGGGCGGAGGTGTGGCGGCGAGGCAGAGGCAGAGGTGGAGCTGCGGCGAGGACGGCGAGGCGACGGAGCTGCGGCAAGGACGGCGAGGCGACGAGGACGGCGAGGCGACGAGGACGTCGGCAGAACTAGCACCCCGGCTCCCTCTCTTCTCCTTCTCCTCTCTTCAAATTCGACCCAAATTTCGACCCACGAAATTCGAGCACCCACCCATTTTTCTATTTCCTACGATATGACTAAAAAGGGTACGTAGCCATCATTAGATATCTATTGCAACACACTTTGGTCTTTCCTCTTCATGGCTGCTTCATCTTCTTCCCCATTATCATTGAGAAACTCATCCACACAAACAAATAAATTCATTCTCTTTTTCTTCTTCCTCGTATTCTCAGCTTCAATCAAACATTCCAATGGATGCTACACATCCATCTTCAGCTTTGGCGATTCGATCGCCGACACCGGCAACTTGGCGTGCATCTCAGAGTCTCCTCAGCCTCCCCACTTCATGTTACCACCCTATGGTGAAACCTACTTTCACCGCCCCACCGGCCGTTGCTCCGATGGCCGCCTCGTCATCGATTTCATCGGTACAATACAAAAACACACACATATATACATATTCATATGCACGATTGCTTTTAGTAACTGGGTTTTTCTACAATCTTGTTTTGGTACAGTTTTTTAAGTAGTTTTTCTTTAGGATGAAATTATTGCTAAAACAGTTGATGCCTTTAGCAAATATTGTAGAAGATTTTTATTTTTGAGAAAGTTTACTTTTTAGTTGGTTTAGAGTATTTTTTTTTTTGGCTCAACTAACACGGAATATTATATTACCTTTTCAATTTTAAAATTGTATATTTAGACTGTTGAATTATCGAAATTATTTCAATTTCATCCCTCTAGAAGTAGGTCTTTGTATATTTTTTTATAATTAAGAATCTAAATGCACAATCTTAACACTACAACATATAAAAATTTTAGAGATTAAATTATTTAGTGTTTTAAAGTAAAAATTTTGTTGTAAAAGATATTTAAGGACCAATTTCTATTGTCGTGAGTATAGTCGTTATAAAGTCATCCTGAAAAGTCAAAAATAAAATTTTTAGTGACAAAATTTTGAAAATGTCACTAATAAATACACTTTTTAGGACAAAATAATTTGGTCTCAAAATGGTTTATGGTTTATTTTTTGAGACAAAAAATTTGGTTCAAAAAAGATAATAATTCATCACTAATGTTCAATTTTAGTTACTAAAAATATAATAGCGATACTTTTCGCAATAAAAATATTGAATTCTTAAAAAATAATTTTATTCCTAAATTTTGAATTTTAAAATCTTAATTTTTTGTACTGTAAAGTTGAATGAAATAATGTGATAATTGTAATAAATATTTTTTGTTTTTGTTTGTATGGACATTTTTTGAAATTTTTTATTTTTAAAATCATTCATTACTAGAAGGGAAAGTAATAAAAGAAATATATATATATATATATATATATATTACTAGCTTTGCTTTTGTTATTAGCTCTTTTTTAAATAATACGAAAAGTAAAACAAAAGCATAAACTAGGAAAGGAGAGGCTAATCCCTCTTATATACAATTTTAAGAACGTCAATTATTAGAATGGGTCTCAACAAAATAAGGAGATTTTTTTTATAGATCTTCAAGTCTTTTATTTGGTTTTCTCCCATATGAGCAAAAGGCATCTGCACATTGATTGGTTTCTCAAAAAATGTGCTTGATAGTCCAATCCATTCTGAAGGTAAGGAATTTGAAGTCTTCCATAAGAGTACGGTAAAGGTAGTTTGAGTGAGCTCCTTCATCAATGAGTTTGATAGCATCTTAACAGCTTGTTTCAATCACCACATTTCTCTAATCTTTTTTTATGAATGATGGTTGTTCCGCAGTAAATAGCCTATATTTCTGTTTCAAGATTTGTTGCTACATCCAACTTTTCAGAGTATCCAAGAATCCAAGAACTTTTTGCATCTCTAGAGTCCTCCAAAATCAATTTCCCCCCAATTTTCCTTGGCACATCCATCAACATTTAGCTTGATATTATCTGTAGGAGGAGATAGTCAATTGATCAGTTTAGTTCTTTGTTGATCAGAGCTTAGGTGGTATTGGCAGGCCTCATGGATTTCTTTTGCTATTAGCTCTTGCTAATACTTTAAGAGCTATAGCTTTAGGAGAATATTTATTTAAGTGAAAAAAAATAATTAGAAAAAAAATGGTGATCTTTTGACACTTTTGACACAAACAGGGTGGGTTCTGTTTGAAAAATAATTATCTTTTCTTTTTGTCTTCTAAATTGTCTGAAATCAAGCAATAAATTTTATTTTATTTTTTATTTTAGGTTTAAATAATTCAAAAGTTATTTTTTTGACTTAGAAATTTTGTGCATTGATTTTGCAGCTGAGTATCTTGGTCTACCATTGGTGCCACCATATTTTAGTGGGCAAAATGGAAGTTGTGTCAATTTCCAAGAAGGTGTGAATTTTGCAATTGTGGGTGCTACTGCTCTGGATGTTGACTTCTTTGAGCAAAGAGGAATTCACAATCCCTTCACAAATTGTTCTTTGGGAAATCAGTTGCACTGGTTCAAGAAAATGTTGCCATCTATTTGCCACACTCCTTCAAGTAAGTTTTCTATATATGTATATGTATGTATCTATATATATGTATATATGTAAGTTCTCTCCTTTCCAAAGTCATGTTGAAGGATTATTTTTTATTTTTATTTTTTTAATCAGAAAAAGAGAATATATTAAGCACTAAATCAAGTTACATCCGAAGATAACAGAGGGCTAGGGAGATACACATTCCACAAAGGAGAATATGTTGAAGGATTGTTTGATCTCAAATTTTTTTTTTTTTTAAATGTTTTTTTAACTCTCTTAAAAGAAAAAAAAAACTCATAATCATTAGCTCAAGTGAGAATCTTGTAATAAAAAATCTCAAGACACAATCAACTAAACAAAGTAATAGAGAGATTTAGAAATAGAAAATCTTATAATCAAATTCACCAAGTCATTGAGTGCTAAACAAACATAACTATTGCCTGAATGAATTTGGACATCAGAGAAAAATATTTGTGCTTTGCGAAATTCTCTTACATAATAATTAGGCTTATATTGTATTTTATTTTATCATAATTTTAAAAACATGGCAGTCAAAACTATTGCCAGAATAATATTATACAAATAAATAAGTTCTGTAAATTAGATTATTTTATTTATTGATGTGACACCTATCATATTAATATTAAAGTAAGTCAATTTTTAATTTTTTTTTTCATAGCACTATAATTAATAAGAAAAAAGTTTATAAAATGTTGAAGTAATAGACCATCATCATCATGAGGTTGAACACTTGCATCATGGGGTTTGGGGTGGGTGGGGTGGGGTCTGATGGGCAATGCAGTGCAAAAGCCCACCGCCATTATCTTTAGAGTTGGTTTGTTTTGAGAGATGGATGGAACTGGACCAATAGTGATAAGGGCATAATAATTATCATGTTTGTTTTTAAATGGTTTGTGTTTTGAGATAAATTTTTAAAAGAAATTTTGGAAAGAAAGTTTATAATTTTTTTTAATTTGTTTGGTTGTATATTTTGAAAATAGTTTTGGAGTTTGAGATGATTTAATATTTTATTGTAGTTAAATAGATGTGTGCGAGAGAAAAAATGATTAATTGATGTGTGGGAGAGAGAAAGTGATTTTGAAATTTTTTTTTCAAAAATTATGTTTTGAGAGTTAAACCAAACAAGGCCATAGTCTTCCAAGACTATGAAAGGCCTTAAATGAGGGGATTAGTAGGAGTGTAGGGATGTAAAAATGGCTCGCGACCTAGGTTGGGCTAGGCCGAGTTAGGCCCGAGCTTGGGCCTGAGCCTGAGCCTAGCCTAGGGCCCTAGGCTTGGGCTGTCATTTTGAAGCTGACTCAACTTGTGGGTTCGGCTTATCGGCCCGCTTAAGGCCCACTCAAAGTCCAGCCTGAGGCCCGGTCCGTCCGAGGCCTAGTGTCATTTTTAGTGAAAAAGAATAAAATTTTAGTGAAAAAAAATAGAAAAAAATGTTCAGGCCCGCCCAGGCTCGGTCCAAGCCTGAGTCCAAGTTTAGGCCTGTCGACCTACGCAAGGCTCGAATACCCCCAGGGCCTGGGCTTAATTTTCTAGCCCGTGGCCCGACCTGAATTTTGACTCGAGCTCACGTAGCCTGACAAGGGCTGGCCCAAGCTTGGGCCCGGGCTGGGTCAAATTTACAACCTTAGGGAGGTGATATTCAAAAATGAAATAACACATCCACTACTAGAAAAAACACTTTCCGTGACGAACATGTTTGGTCGCGAAAAGTACCATATTTGGTCGCTAAAACCTTTTCGCGACCAAAATATGTTGGTCGCGAGTTGGTCACTAAAGCCTCATCACAGATAGTTTTCTGCGACCAAAAAAGCCTTTGGTCGTTAAAAGTGACCATTCGCGACCAACTTTTTTGGTCGCAAAAAGTCCAATTCATATTAGCCAAAAGTAAACTTTTAGCGACCAAAGATAAGTTGGTCGCCAAACGTCAACGCCTTGACCCAAAAAAAATAATTCTTTTGTGCTCCCTGGGACTTGAACTCCTGACCAAGGAGTCACCATGCACCCAATCCACTCTGCCAATAACATACTTCTTGTTCATATTTGACAAAAACAATATATAACCCATAAAAATTGGGTTATATATTATTTTATAAAACTTTTAATGCCTAAATAGAAAAATAGCATGTAATTACTGTAGTATCATTTTTTTTTAAAATTTATCCCGCCATAACTTTCCGCGACCAACTTTTTTTTTGGTCGCCAAAGGGTAATCTTCCACGACAAAAAAAAGCCTCTGGTCGCCAATAGTAGACTTTTCGCGACCAACTTTTTTTTTTGGTTGCCAAAAGGTGATCTTCCGCGACCAAAAAAGCCTTTGGTCGCCAATAGCATACTTTCCGCGACCAACTTTTTTTTTTGGTCGCCAAAGGGTAATCTTCCGCGACCAAAAAAGCCTTTAGTCGCCAATAGTATACTTTCTGCGACCAACTGTTTTTTTTGATCGCCAAATGGTATACTTTCCGTGACTAACTTTTTTTTTGGTCGCCAAAAGGTGATCTTCCGCGACCAAAAAAGCCTTTGGTCGCCAATAGTATACTTTTCGCGACCAACTTTTTTTTTAGTCGCCAAAAGGTGATTTTCCACGACCAAAAAATTGTGGTCGCCAAAAGTTAAATTTTAGTCGCAGAAAGTGGACTATTTGCGACCAAAAAAAATAGGTGTTCGCCAAAAGTGTTTTTTCTTGTAGTGATCAAAGGGTATTTATGGAATTTTTAATATAAAATTAATTTTAATAAATTAATTTTTTAATATTAAAATGTAATAATATATATAATAATTAATTAAAATTATATGTACCAAAAAAAATATGTATTTATAAAATATAATTACTAATATTAAATATGTATATATATATAACATCAAAATGTATTTATGAAATTTCATATAGTTAATCCCATTATAGAATGACAAAATAAATATTAATTCTTACTAGTCCGATGATTATAAAATAAACATAATTTTTTTTAATTCTCTCATTAACAATTTCTTCACTAAATATTTCCACACTAAGAATTCCACCTAATCTAACTGAAAACAAAAGGAATATATGTATGGAAGTCAAAGTTGGAAAACTTTATAAAATGTTTGTTGTATACATTGAATATGGAAATTTGATTAGGTATGGCCTCTTTTTAAAATTCATGTGTTGCATATGTAAAAATTATTCAATAACATTGTCAGCAACTTTCATCTCATTTCTTCAGACTACTTCTTACCTAAGTTACCTTAGACCCACATTTACAAATAATTATTGTTATGTTTCACATGCCATATAATACTAATATTACTTTCACAATCTCAAACCCTAATTCTATCCTCTGATCTCACCTATCACCTACCATTACCAACTCCGCTTCTCCTTAAGCCCTTTTTAGCCCTTTTTGCCACACTCAACCCCTTTCTACCTAGTGCCAACCCCAGTTCTTCTTTACTTCCAATACCGTACCCTAGCCACTTCCATCATTGTTTCTCTCCAGACTCTTCGCACTGCTGCGACTCTTACCCTCATAGTCCTCTGCCCCTTGTAGCCTCTGTCCCTATTTCCCACTATTGCGACCCTAAACTTACTGCATTTTCCATCGCTACCGCATAGTTGTTCTTTCTCATGGTCAATCTTTCTCTCAATTGATCTCTTTTATGCTCTCTAGCTCATATCTGTTGCAGAGGTGAGGAAGTTATGGGGTAGAGAAGGAGGTGTAGATGGTAAAGATGGGTTGAGAAGGGGTGGACAAAGGTGGGAAGAGTTATCGGAGTTGGGAATGAACAAGAAAGAAAAGTAACTGGAGCTCATGCAGCTAGGTGAGGGTTGGGTTAGGTTTACAGTTAAGATTTAAGAGGTTATAATGGGATACATTTGTAATTAAAAAAATATAAAGAGACGAAGTTTCAAAAGTATAAAAAAAAGAGAAATTACAATTCAACCTATATTTTCAAAATAAATTTTAAATTAATGATAAAATTTATCAACTTTAATAATTGAAATTCTAAATTTTTCCATCACTTTATAATTTTTTTTTTTTATTTTTGATTATTTATTTTTTGTTGTTGTGATCTTCCAACTAGTTCACAATTTTTCTTTAAAAAAAATGGGGTAAATTATAGTGACACTCCTTGAGATTTGTTTTTAATACACGTACATCTCTCACGTTTCGAAAATTACGTTTCCCTCTTTGTGGTTTGCAATCACATTACAATTTATTCCTTCTGTTACTTAACGATTGAATTAGCAAATAACTTTTACTGGACCTCAACAACTAAAATTTTTAAATACCAAATTTACTCTCAAATTGAGTTAACTCGTTGAATTGAGAAATTGTCTTATAAACTCATTACATGACTATCATTTCCAAGCAGAGTATCACCTTTCTATCTTTCTTCTTCCTTTACCTACTGCTTTGGCTACTTCTTTTCACCACCACTAGCGATAAGGTATTACACATCTACACATCTTAGACCCGCTATTAACACCACTGTAGAGAAACCAATTACTGGTAGTGTCGTCTTGGGTAGTGGTGAAGGTAAAATGTTTGATAATTTGTTTATGAGTATTGACGGGTGAGAAATGATGGGTGTGAATCGTTATGGTAAAGGTTGGTGGCATGTATGTGATGGTTGAGGCAAGAGATGATGGTTGTAATGGTGGGAGAAGCTTAGAAAGGGAATAGGGTAATATGGTATTTTTAATAATTTCATTGAAGGGCATTAAAGTCATTATGTATTTTTTTTTTTTTTGTCAGTTTTGTTAAGAGACAAGATCTGATAGGGGTGCAGTGTAATTTGAAAAATGTGAGTAGGGTTGTAATTATGGCCTGGCCCGGCCCATTTGGGCCAGAGCTCGGGCCTCGAGGGCTCCTATTTTTTTCACTGTCCGACTCGACTCGACCCATGGATCGAAAAGTGTGGCCCAGACCCAAGTTTAGGCCCACTCAGAATAGGGCCTAGGGTCGAGCCCGTGAGTCTGGGCTCGAGTCGCAAGTTGCAGGCTGGGCTGGACTGGGT